GGCCCATTAGCCTAATAGATATTGTGGCTAAAATATATTCTAGATTCCTTCTGAGTCGAGTCGAGAGTTGGGTAGATGAAAAGTGTATTCTCACAGAAAAACAAGCCAGCTTTAGACAGAGTTGATCCACTACTGATAACTGCTTTGTCTTGAACCATCTAGTTACAAAATATATCAGTAACAACTGTTTGCTGCCTTTATAGATCTTAGTACGGCATTTGACACAATAAATAGAGAAATATTATGGAGGAAATTGTCCTCAAAATGGAACCCAGACTGCTGGCGTTGATCAAAGCCCTTTATACAAGCACTAGTTTGAGAGAGCAGTTTGGGATTAATAGAGCCACGACCAGGATACTTAGAAAGGGGTAAGACAAGGGTGCCTACTTGCACCATTGTTATTTAGCCTATACATTAACAACTTACCAGGATCCTGAAGTACATATGCCCAAGGTGTTAAACACGTAACACCTTGCTATACGCTGACAATATGATTTTACTACCATATTCGCAAGTTGGGTTGCATAGGTTGTTAAGACTTGGCTCCTACTGTCAAAATAATTCTCTAATCATTAATCAATCAAAGTCAAAAATTATGGTCTTTGGAAAACGACATCATAACCGTAGATGGCTATTAGATGGCGAGACAATAGAGCAAGTTAATACTAGGGGTAGTCTAGATAGTTAATACTATCTAAGGGTAGTCTTCTCTGAGACTGGATCTTGGCTCCCTCATCATCAAAGGAGCTCACTTAGAGCAAGGGCATGTATGAACTTACTGCTCAAATTAATAAATCATAGCTATCCAGGCTCCTTAGCCCCAATTATCAAAGTATACAAGGCCAAGGTTACCCCTATGCTCTTACATAGCGCTGAAGTTTGGGGCTTAAAACACATATCTCCATTAGAACAATCACAGTATCTGAGAAGTATCTTGGGTGTGGATAAAAGAACTTCAGCTGCTGCAATTAGAGCTGAATTGGGAATCCATACAATTTGTTCTTTGTCTAAGGGCTTATAATTATTGGTGCAAAATCAATGCTATGGAAACTGACAGACTCCCAAAACTGTGTCTGTTAGAACAGACAAAATCTCAACTACAGACTTCTTGGATAGTACAATTGACAAATTACATTAGGAGCTGTGGTCTCCCTGTCTCATGTCCAATTGTTTCTGGAGAACAAGCTAAAATGATTGGTGTACAAAGACTGGTGGATATAGAAGCCCAGAAAGATATAGGCACCCTTAGTAAGGCTGGCACCCAGAAATGGATGAGCCATTACAAATGTACCTTCCAAATTGCCAAGTATGTTAACACAGAAATACCCAAATATCTTAGGGCGGTATTTACTTGAGCAAGATTTGAGCAGTTGGACACGATGGTCAAATATGGAAGATTTAACCAAGTCCTTTATAATGAACACACTTACATTTGCAGAGCTCCAGAGATAGAAGACATAACACATATATTATGTGAATGTCAACTGTATAAAAAGGAGAGGGATCAGTATCTTGGACCACACATTAGATGAATGACCTGTTCGGATTCTTATATTAAAACAACATATTTCATGTGGGGTCAGAATTCAAAAATTACATATAATACGGTCCTTTATTTGAACAAAACAGTACAGCTGAGATCTGCATATGTGGATCTGATCGGAGTTAATTGTAGGGGTTATACAGAAATATGATTTGCATCTTTTTTCTTTCTTTTTTAATTTTAATTTGTTCCTCTTATCCTATGTTTAATATATGGTCTTATTAATGTCTTACATTTTATGTTTTATATTCTGTATCCTGATGTGGCCTAATGGCTAATCAATAATAAACTGAACTAGAATAACTAAGTTCCTCTGTTATTCTGTTATTGCATAGATTTATATTTTTCAAAGGTTGGCATTCATAACCTGGGATTCAAATTTATACCAAAACTGGGTTCCTTTGCCAAAGAGTTTGAGAGTGCACTTGTCCAAAGCTACCTCAGCCCCTTGTATGTGTGTGCAAAGCATGTAATCCACATTTGATGATGATCTTCCCGAAACGACCGCCACAGGGATCTAATTTCATGAATCTCCAAGAGATTCTTCATGGATGTTGCCTTCCAGTATCTGAAATCTGAGCATGCATCTCAGAGACTGAATAGTATAAGAGGATGCTAAGGTAGTCCCCGTGTTCAAGCAGCCTTTATCCTTAGCAGCAAAAGGGAAACCATCTAATATCATATTTCTTTCGTTGCAGCAGAATTGGTAGATAAAATTGTTCCGATGCCTCTGTCACTGAACCTGCTGTTACAGACCAGTCACTAAACTCCCTAAAGAATTGTTAGAAAGCGGTCACAGCCTCTTTGGCCTCTCAGGAGAGAGCAGTTTCACTAAAAGCTATTGCCGGCTGTTGTTTTCAGCTACTTGGAGCTTTGAGCCAGCATTTTTACCTGCCCTACACCTGATCTGCTTATAGAGCAGGTAGCAACATTTTGGGTGATGTTGAAAAGACCCCGTTTTCTCCCACGTTGGCAGTGAAGTACACTCCAGCCACGCTGGTCACCTGATTTCCAGGAAATCGAACCAGGACCGCCTCCTTCCCATGTTGATATGACCAGTGCCAGGCCTGGCCACCAATGAGCAGACCCCCGCCTCTCTTTACGAACTGCACAAGGTCATCAGCCTGCACATCATCGTAGGCATCTCCACAAA